AAATGAAAGAGAAAAGAAGAAGAAGAAGAAGAAGAAGAAGAAGAAGAAGAAAAGATAATGGAAGAAGGAGAGGAATGAAAAGTAAAAAAAAATGAAGAAAATGAAAGAGAAAAAGAAGAAGAAGAAAAGATAATGGAAGAAGGAGAGGAATGAAAAGTAAAAAGAAATGAAAGAAAATGAAAGAGAAAAGAGGAAGAAGAAGAAGAAGAAGAAGAAGAAGAAGAAAAGATAATGGAAGAAGGAGAGGAATGAAAAGTAAAAGAAAATGTAGAAAAATGAAAGAGAAAAGAAGAAGAAGAAGAAAAGATAATGGAAGAAGGAGAGGAATGAAAAGTAAAAGAAAATGAAGAAAAATGAAAGAGAAAAGAAGAAGAAGAAGAAGAAGAAGAAGAAAAGATAATGGAAGAAGGAGAGGAATGAAAAGTAAAAGAAAATGAAGAAAAATGAAAGAGAAAAGAAGAAGAAAAGATAATGGAAGAAGGAGAGGAATGAAAAGTAAAAGAAAATGAAGAAAAATGAAAGAGAAAAGAGGAAGAAGAAGAAGAAGAAGAAGAAGAAGAAGAAGAAGAAGAAGAAGAAGAAGAAAAGATAATGGAAGAAGGAGAGGAATGAAAAGTAAAAGAAAATGAAGAAAATGAAAGAGAAAAGAAGAAGAAGAAAAAGATAATGGAAGAAGGAGAGGAATGAAAAGTAAAAGAAAATGAAGAAAAATGAAAGAGAAAAGAGGAAGAAGAAGAAGAAGAAGAAGAAGAAGAAGAAAAGATAATGGAAGAAGGAGAGGAATGAAAAGTAAAAGAAAATGAAGAAAAATGAAAGAGAAAAGAAGAAGAAGAAGAAAAGATAATGGAAGAAGGAGAGGAATGAAAAGTAAAAGAAAATGAAGAAAAATGAAAGAGAAAAGAGGAAGAAGAAGAAGAAGAAGAAGAAGAAGAAGAAGAAGAAGAAGAAAAGATAATGGAAGAAGGAGAGGAATGAAAAGTAAAAGAAAATGAAGAAAAATGAAAGAGAAAAGAAGAAGAAGAAGAAAAGATAATGGAAGAAGGAGAGGAATGAAAAGTAAAAGAAAATGAAGAAAAATGAAAGAGAAAAGAAGAAGAAGAAGAAAAGATAATGGAAGAAGGAGAGGAATGAAAAGTAAAAGAAAAATGAAGAAAATGAAAAGAGAAAAGAGGAAGAAGAAAGAAGAAGAAGAAGAAGAAGAAGAAAAGATAATGGAAGAAGGAGAGGAATGAAAAGTAAAAGAAAATGAAGAAAAATGAAAGAGAAAAGAAGAAAAAGAAGAATGAAAGATAGCAACCCTGAAGAAGAATAAAAGGCAAAGGAAATGAACAAGAGCAAGATGAATAAAAAAAGAAGACGAGAGAAGAATGAAAGATAAAATATAAAAAAGAAAAAATGAAGAATGAAAGATAAAGCAGCTGAGGAATGAAAGAAAGAAGAAGGATGACAAAAAGGAGAAAAAGAAGAAGAAAGAAAGAAAGAAAGAAAGAAAGAAAGAAGGTAAAATGAAAGAAAGAAGAAGAAGAAGAACGAATTTTAAAGAATAAGATTGAACGAAAGAAAAAGAATGACAGAAAGAAGAAGTAGAATGAAAGAAAAAAAGAAAAGAAAAATGAAAGAAAGAAGAGGGGGAAGACGAAGAATGAATGATAAAGAATGAAAGAATGAGGAATGATAGAAAGGAGACGAAGAAGAAAAAGAAGAAGAATGAAAGATAAAGAAGAAGAAGAAGAAGAAAAAGAATGACAGAAGAAGAATGAGAATGAAAGAAAAAAGAAGAAAAATGAAAGAAAGAAGAAGAGGAAGAATAATGAAAGATAAAAAGAAGAATGATAGAAAGAAAAAGAATGAAAAAAGAAAAAGAATAAGGAAAATGAAGGAAGAAGAATGAAAGAAAAACAAGAAGAGTGATAGAAAGGAGAACAATGAGAGAAAGAAGAAGAAAGAAAGAAAGAAAGAAAGAAAGAAAGAAAGAAAGAAAGAAGAATAATGAAAGAAGAAAAATGAAAGAAAAAAGAGGGAGATGAACAATGAAAGAAGAAGAATGAAAGAAAGAAGAAACAGAAGAAGAATGACAGAAAGAAGAAGAAGAATGACAGAAAGAAGAAGAAGAAGAATGACAGAAAGAAGAAGAAGAAGATGATTGAAATAAAGAAAGAAAGAAAGAAAGAAAGAAAGAAAGACAGAACAAGAAGGAGGATAAGAGCTAAAGAAACCTAAGAGGAGAATAAATAAATATAAATAAGACTAAAAAAAAGAAAGAAAAATGAATGAATAATAATGAAAAATGAATAAAAATAGAAGCATTAAAAGTAAAATGTTAGAAAATTAAAGAAAAAGAGTTGTGTATGTGAAAGAAACTATGAACACTAAGAAAAGTTAAGTGTGGAAAACAATGAAAAGAAAGAAGATGAATAAGAAAAGAAAAAAAAACCTGACAGATAACTGGAAACAAAGAGGCTTTAGTAAAAATAATCAAAAATAAAGAAAAAAGGGATAATTGGCAATACGATAAAAAGAACAAACATTATATGAAAAAAAAGGCAGCATAAGCAAAAACTGAAAAAATAAAGCATAAAGAATGGATAAAATCTATATGGTCCCTTCTTGTCCAGATTTGTGTTAAATAAAATTCTGTTAACCTGCCTTTCCGTTGACCTTTTAGCGCAACAAGGGTATGAAAAACATTAACGTCTGGCCAGAGTGCATCGTCACAGATTTTACGTTGAAGCTAATATAATATTCGACTTTCCTCAGATGTATGCTATATACGGTGAAACTTCAAACTGGTTTTGCAATTTATTTACTGAACTCGTTTTTTTCTTTGTCATAATTTCAGCTGAAAAGTTACAATTTGAATCGCATAGTGCTACGCTCTTATGGCTGTAATGATTTTTTGAATTTCACTAGAATATAAAGACTTAACAGAAATCGATGTAAACCCCCTTGAGCAAATTAATTGAAACAACCATTTTAGTTTCCTTTCTTTTACCATAGGCTCAGTTTTAGACCCATTGAAGTGACAGGGTGTAATCAATTCCTATTTTTTCTTTAGGGCATTTACAGTGCAGTAATATAAATCTATTTTCGGGGTGTATGAGGAAATTTGTTTGGCCGTGAAAAATATTGCTTCATCCGTGGTTGCATCAGATTTTTATCACGCGCAGATACTATTGTCTTGACTGTCGATTAGTTGTCCTACTGTCATTTTCTGTGATGGACGTTACTGCAAGAAAATTTTAACGCTGCACAAACACACTGGCAACCCTTACCAGTGAGCAAATCAAAGTGGAATAGACTGTCCCGGAAATCTGATTTAAATCCAAACGAGAATATGTGGTCAGTGTGCAAGGAACGACTTTGTGAAATGAACATACGAAGTACTAACACGTACACTGGGTCATATTTCATTCCAAAAATATGAAAAAGTAATTAATAATGGAATTATTCGTTTTGTTACGATTAATTTGCACAGGGGTGTATATATGCGTGCGTGTGGGGACACTCCAAGCGGTGTAATGGTTAGCAAGCTTGTCTGGCTAGAACAATTACGAATGAGTAGTGAGTTCGATCCTCACTGGGTGCCCCCTACTTTCGGCCTTGTGCCAAATCTAAGTTACGCTTGGAAAATCTCTGTGTGTGCGTGTGAAGGTGTGCGTGTGCGTGCGTGAACATATCACAACATAGTCATGCGGATCGTGTCAGCTATTTTGAATATCTGGAGAAACAGCAGCCTTAATGTAGTAAGAGAGATTAGTGCGCATGCGTGTCTGTTCACTCATAAAGGGGTTCCCTAAAGGTGTAATGAATTTGCTAATTCAATATGCAAAACTTATAATTATGAACAATCAACAGAATTAATGGCAAAAGGAGGGAGAATGGTTTCGCAACCAAACAACATTTCTATAAAAGCTGAACTAGAGAAAAAAAGATTGAAAACCTTGTGAATGGCGGAAAACATATATATGTATGTGTGTGTGTCTGTGTGTGTGGTCAATATATATATATATATATATATATATGAATTTCCAAGAGGATAGAATCCAGGTAGAACTCAGTGTACAGGACAGAGCAAGAATATAATAATGAATTTTAATTTTTAGGTCTGATGAATTGGATCATGATTACGATTCCAATGTAATAAATTATAACCATGGAATATTAGTGAGCCTTATATATATATATATATATATATATATATATATATATATATATATATATATATATATATATAAGAACGAAAAACGCATCTATAAAAGTTTTAAAGGCACAGACAATAAGCCCTGGACGAACGCAGAGGATACCTGAAAAATGAAACCACATTACAACAAAAAAAATGAATTATTATTAAATATTATAAAATGCTATCCCACCCAAGGGGTGACAATAGTTCCTCTTCAAGATGAAACAGTGTGTGCGCGAATTGTTTTTTTAAATGACAAAATATATGGAAGCCCAAAGAGCCAAAACAAAAACAAACGTAAATATAAAGAAGATGAAGCAATAAACCGTATTGTATGTGAATGCAGTAAAGTAACACAAAAGAATGCATAACAGACACGGCAGATAGGGGAAAATTTATGCTCTGTAAACTGTGCAGACAGCTTAGCTTCGATCATGCAAACGAATATCGTCTGTAAAATGTTTAGTTATGATAGATACCGTAATTTCCCTATGTATAATACGCCTTCATCCATAGTATGCACCCCTAAAATTATACTGAAAGTGTGGGAAGATGCTTCTACTCATGCATAATACGCAAACATTGTTTCGTAATCAAACCCTATAAATTGTACCTCTTCAATTTCATTATGGCCAGCTTTTCCTACTGTTATTTTTAAAATGGATTTAAACATAAAATAATATTATTCTAATTTAGTTTTATGATAATGCTTATTTTATTTTACACTTGTAAGTATGGTTAGATACATATGATTGTATTTGACATCCGTATGGGGTCGCAATCGCCGAATGTTAGTGTCAAATTATCGTATGTTTGTGGTGAGTAGTAATCTCGCAATTGAAATCGACCTATCAAATAGCAATTTTTCAAAGATATTTTTGTAGCTGTGTATAATGCGCAACCCTAATTTTGCTTATTAATTTTAGAAGAAAATGCGTATTAAACATAGGGAATTACGATAGATAGATAGATAGATAGATAGATAGATAGATAGATAGATAGTTCCAGTGATAAATTATTGTCTAAATTATGCTAAAATGAAAATATCATCTGACATCTCATTTTAAAAGATGTATTTGCCAAAATTACACAAAAATGCCTTGAAATACTAACGAATAAATGTATTCAATAAAATCACCATTGGCTTCAACCACGGCCACCAGGCGACTTTGGAATCTCCGGCATCTCTTTTGGACGGTCTTCCTGTTTATGTTGGCGAATGCTGCCATAATTCATGGTTTCAGTTCATCTTTGGTGTTACAAGGAGTTTTGTTGGTCTCTCCTTCAACTGTGACCCACACATAATAATCAAGAGGGTTGCACTCTGGGCAGTTAGGTGGTCAGCTATAAGATGTGATGTGGTCTGACAGTTATAAATAAGTTCTCCTTCCTGTGTGGTATGGTGCAGAATCCTGTTGCCAAACATAGGGTCTTCCAGGGCAGCACTTGATCTAGCATAAAAATGTTGCTTTCCTCCAAACTCCAAGTTCTTGTGCCAGACACAAAACTTAGTTGGTAGAAACAGCAATTTTCGGAAATAGGCTCCCCTCAAGAAAAAAGACGACCATTGCAGCTCTCAACAAGTTCCTTCCCTCTGCCACCTCCCCCAGACCACGTTCTGTCATTCACTTGCTTATGGCCGCTAGGTATGCCATGCGTTGTTTTCCCTTGTCTATCTTTCCTCTTATTCGACCCGTGAGTATCAGATTCTCCAGGCCCTCCTTCCTCATTGTGTGTCCCAGGAACTTCAGCTGTCTCTTCCTGATGTCCTCCTTGTTTGCAACCTCTCTAAGGCCTCATCCTTGCTCACACGTTCGCTCCATGTTATCCTTAGCATCCTTCTGTAGAACCACATCTCCGTCGCCCCGAGTCTCTTCTTCATCTTTGAGGAAAGCGTGCAACATTCGCTGTTGTAAAGAAGGACAGATGTCACGTAGTATCCTTTTCTTCGTTACCAAAGAAATCCTCATGTCTCGCAATACCCTGCCCAGCTTTTGGCATGTGTCCTTGGTTATCCCAATACCTGTACGGATCTCTGTGTCGGATATACCCTCCTTGGCCAGAACGTTTCCCAGATATTTAAACTTCTGCATCTGCTTGATTCTAGTGTTCCCGACCCTCAAATTGCATTTCGGGCTCTCTTCTTCACCGTCTCCTTCCGTAGGAGATTTTGTAATCTGTCTGCTATAATCTATTTGGTCAGTAATAATCTCCATGCTATCTAACAACTTATTAATCGCTTGCTCCTAAGCAGAGTGTTGGACTTTTAGCATTTTCCCCGTAGCCTTCAACGAATTTATAGACTTCTCAATCCTTTCTATGAAAATACGTCTATTTTTTAATATTAGGTTGGTGCAAAAATAATGACGTAATAATGTCGTTTTTTGACGTATTTTTTAACTTTAAAAAACGACATTATTACGTCATTATTTTTGCACCAACCTAATATTGGAAATTTCCGCCATTTTTATATCATCTGCCAAAGATATTTAAAGATAAGCAATTTTTTTTTTGTTTATAAAACAGAATATTTTTAATTCAGTAAATACAGTTTTTTTTTTGGTTTTTTTTTTAATGAATAAACAGAAAAATTTTACGCATAAAATCTTCCAGGTTATTTTAATTTTAACAAAATAACTCCAGTCAGAAATATCGGATATTAATTCCTTTTCATGAAAATAAACTAATTTTTAGCAGAATAAGGCAAATTTTAAGCATAAAGTTATTTTAACGTTAACACAGTAACTCCAGTCGGGAATATTGGATACACAGAACTTTCATTTTAAAACAATTCCGAGAAAAATAAAATACAGAATTTGCGTATAAATTCTATATATTTTTGTTGAAAAGTTAAAGCAGTTAACATATTTGGTTCAGTTCCGTCACAATACCGAATGAATACATATTAATCTATAAATATATATATAAATATCCACATTTTTGTATATCAAAGGCAAAATTTTATTTTTTCGAATTCTCCGATAACTTCAAAACAGAATCTTTGAAGTTTTTCTGAGTTTAGTCTGATAATCTATTTCTTGTTTTATCGCGCACGAGAAAAGTTACCCAGCCAGACGGACAAAACAAATTCCTTAAAATTTCACGCAGCAGAGTCTTGTAAAAACGAACACAAATTTCCTACCAACTCCAAGTTTTTGTGCCAAACACAAAGCTTGGTAGAAACAGCAACTTTCGATATTTGATGAAACTTAAGAAACAAGACGACCACTGCGTAAGATTTTAAAATAAACAACACATTTATTGATTTACAATTTATAAATTCGAAAAGTACAATACAAGGGTTGCACAAAAATTTCCTTTTTTGCACCTCTTTGGAAAGGATAACATTTTCCTTGGGTAACAAAAAAGAGAGATTACCCACAGAAACAAGAAATATGTGATATAATTTGTTAGATAAAAACGGATTCACATACAAAAAAAAGTCACAATTCGTTTGATAAGAAACTGATTCACATACAAAAATTAATCTCTTCAAAAATAGAGAAAATGTGAAAAACTTTGAGAAAAGAAAAACAAAATGGCAGAGGGCAGAAATTTTTCAAGTAGCAACTGCAACTCAACTCTTAACAATTTACAAAAACAGGACGTCTCAGCTCGAAGGGGGTTTATGTAATAAAGTTCACTTGGATGTTATTGGCGTGAAAATTTCTGGTGTAGAAATCTGTCTTGTATCTGTCAGGTTTTGATTTACGACCTATGGCTGGAGCGTCTTTTGATATTTTGGTGACATCCTATGTCTGTTCTCATCAATGGCACATTCTTGTCTCCTGTATGTTCTTCTCCCTACGGATCTGCTTCGGCCTTTTGATCGAAATAGCTGATAACAATCCTTTTTATTGAAAAAGTGACCATGACATCAGCTCCAGCCAAAATTTGACATTGACCAGCAAACTTGAATTATATTGGACAATATATATATATATATATATATATATATATATATATATATATATATATATATATAATGGACTCTCCTGTCGGTTTCGACGTATGAGGATCTGCCAGCTTATTGATTCAGTTATGACAGATTATGCGATAATTTTAAGTGGCATTTAAGACCCGCTTTCAGATTTACAAAGGAGGCCACATATGGAGCAAATGGGAGAATTGTGAGATGAGATCACTGTTAGATTGGCTGACCTTTTTAGATCTTGCTCTCGCTTCTTGAAGATGATTCAGACAAGCATATATATATATATATATATATATATATATATATATATATATATATATATACTCTTCACGTATTAAAATAAATCCGACACACTTCAATCAATTTTGGCTTGAGCCTAAACGCCATAAAAAAAATCCGCAGAATGTAACAACCAAACCGTCTGGCATTCTGAAAAATACACTTTTCTCAAAGCGTATATTAAAAAAACAACCTAGATGAATATATATATATATAGATCATGAACATTTCTTTACACATAAGGAAAATAAAATTTTAATAGTAGGTTTCCGTGTTGAGTCTGAGGCCCACACCAACAAATTCGAGAGTTCTTTTCTTATCAGAACGATCAGAATGAGTTTTTCCGAGCTGCCGTACCTTCGTAATCACCATTAGACTCATCGAACTCTTTCCCAATACTCTACACTGTTCTCGCATTTACAGCAAAACACTTTGAAATGTTCGTATTGGAGCTTCCGACGCGAATTCCCAGCAATATAACATGTTGTTTCTAAATGTTTCGCTGAGGGAATTGCGTTGTGTTGCTCCTTTTCCCACACACGGTGCCCAACTGACCCTACTATACTGTGCAGTCGACAAAATCAAAAACAAACAATGCACATGCGTGAAATTAAAAATATAGAATGGCAACAATTTACTAATAGAACCCTGTAGATAGATAGATAGATAGATAGATAGATAGATAGATAGATAGATAGATAGATAGATAGATGAGGAGAGAAAGCAAGATGTATGAACAGAGATAGATAGATAGATAGATAGATAGATAGATAGATCTGAATAGAATGATATATATACATATAGATAGATAGATAGATAGATAGATAGATAGATAGATAGATAGATCTGAGTATGAGATAGATAGATAGATAGATAGATAGATAGATAGATAGATAGATAGATAGATAAGGAGAGAAAGCAAGATGTATGAACAGAGATAGATAGATAGATAGATAGATAGATAGATAGATAGATAGATGAGGAGAGGAAGCAAGAAGTATGAACATAGATAGATAGATAGATAGATAGATAGATAGATAGATAGATAGATAGATAGATAGATGAAGAGAGAAAGCAAGATGTATGAAGATAGATAGATAGATAGATAGATAGATAGATAGATAGATAGATAGATAGATAGATAGATGAGGAGAGGAAGCAAGAAGTATGAACAGAGATAGATAGATAAATAGATAGATAGATAGATAGATGAGGAGAGAAAGCAAGATGTATGAAGATAGATAGATAGATAGATAGATAGATAGATAGATAGATAGATAGATAGATAGATAGATGAAGAGAAAGCAAGATGTATATGAAGATAGATAGAGATAGATAGATAGATAGATAGATAGATAGATAGATAGATGATGAGACAGATAGATAGAAGAGGAAGAGAAGTATGAACATAGATAGATAGATAGATAGATAGATAGATAGATAGATAGATAGATAGATAGATAGATGAAGAGAGAAAGCAAGATGTATGAAGATAGATAGATAGATAGATAGATAGATAGATAGATAGATAGATAGATAGATGAAGAGAGGAAGCAAGAAGTATGAACATAGATAGATAGATAGATAGATAGATAGATAGATAGATAGATAGATAGATAGATAGATGAGGAGAGGAAGCAAGAAGTATGAACAGAGATAGATAGATAAATAGATAGATAGATAGATAGATAGATAGATAGATGAGGAGAGAAAGCAAGATGTATGAACATAGATAGATAGATAGATAGATAGATAGATAGATAGATAGATAGATAGATAGAGTTCAATTATACTTCGGTAATTTCTGATTTGGTCTTATGTCTTAGTGTTAACCCGGGAATCTATTCCCATTGTCCCATTACTGATCTATTGAATGATTTTTTCATAAATTTAACTAATTTCCTGAGAAACTGTAGTAAGTATACGAAATGTCCAACTAAATTTTTATTAACATTGCTACAATAAACATCCGATTCAAGGATTCTATATTTTCAAACTACAATAAGTAATTGATCCTGACTTGACATCTCGACTTCAATCACTTTTTTCACAGACGTGACGTGGCTTCCCTTTGTCTTTTCTACAAATATTCTCATGGCAATTGTGCCGACGAGCTTTTTTCCCTAGTGCCGAGACTAAATGAATTTAAGCGTGCTACTAGATTGGCATCTAGGTCCCACCCTTTTACTGTTGAAATAGTTAAATGTGGCCGCCACCTTTACTCTGACAGTTTCTTTTCTCGCACTTCCCTTCCTTTTACTTGCTTCCCTGATAACTACGATCTTCAAAAATTTAAATGAAGTGTCAACAGCCATTTTCTGTTGACTTGAATCCCGTTCATTTTTTATCTTTTCCTCAATTTCTATACCCAGGTTTTTCTCTCACATTCACTCTCTGCAAACCCTTGCGTGCTCGTGGCACTCTCGTCTTGCTTGGAGTAAAATGCTTAAAAAAAAAGTTATTTCTCACAAATGGTTTTATACACAACTTGGCATAGGGGTTCCATTTTGGTTGGACGAGTAAGAAACTGTTCTTGTGATTTGAGATGGGAGAAGGCGCCCGGTCCAACCTAGGATTCCAACTTAGCGGAAGTACCTCCCATGTTGCATTAAGAATCGGTGTAATATCAACGCCAGCATGAAAGATGTCGCGATGACCGGAATTTTTTTTAACCTTGGCCTACACGCATATACGTATGTGTATTGTGCTCCCTTCGTAAAACTGATCTTATGCCACGCCCTGCCATAGTGAATAGGCTGGGTAAATAAGAAATAAATATTCGTAATCAGTCGAAAGGGCTTAGCTTTTTTCCTTTATTTTATACCTGCATTCTTTCGAATATCTTGTGTTCATAATGTTATCGCGAGAAGAGATGAGACGAGACTCACGCGAGAAGTGATGAGACGAGAGTCACGCTGTATAACCTATAAAACAGATTTAATGGCAGACGAAAAGAAACCTCTAAATTTCTTATATCGTGTTACCTTTATTATGCTCTTAGCTTAGTTTGGTATGGAGATAAGAAAGAAGTTTTTCTCGCAATAATTTCCTAAACCTGTTTGATGTTAATACCCTTATTCAAAATGCTGCTCTGTAACAGGACTCGAATACCTTAAATAAAATTAGTTAAAAAGTCAAATGGTATGTTTAAACGATAATGTTGCATCAGTCATGAAAGTAGGAAGGGCCTATCTGCCATGAAAAATGAAGCTTATAAAAAAAAGATACTCTTTCATCTTTCAAACCGACACATCCCAACGGGGAAACATATGCTGTCATGTGAAAATGTTCGGACACTACCAAAATTACGATGGTCGGCTGAAAAGTTCATAGGCTGACTCTGACGGGGTGATGCTAGAAATGTGAAAACTTGCATGAATTCATTTTAAAACTTTGCTTTCCCAAAGATATTTACGCGTAAATGAATATAACAAACACAACGGGAATTCGACCTCGTTTCTCTCCAATTTGAAATTCAGGGCCGTTATCCATTACACCACCTGCACATCCAAGGTTACAGATATTCCCAAGCGGTCACCCATCTACGTACTGACCTGTCTCGATGCTGCTTAGCTTAGGTGATCATAGCGAAACCGGTGTTAAAACCATCAATATTTGGTCTACTTTTCAGATAGATAGATAGATAGATGAACATAGATGCATACAGTTCTTTTCAACCATCAGAAAAGTTTCAGTGTCTCCGGATAAATCTTTGAATTGATCCAGTCTTATCAAATCGTGAAATGTTATCCTGAACGGCCACTCGTCTAGATTCTTTCATAGTAATGCGGGAGTTCCCAAGTGTCCTAGTGACTTTACTGCTTTGCAATGGGGTGAGACCTTACTTTACTTGCTTGATGCGGAATTCACCCTGGGCGGATTGAGCCGGCTTCTTCCTGTTATGAGAAGAAGATTCTTGGGATAAATTACAGAAGTAGGGTACCCAGGCCTACTCGAATAACGTTCTTGTTTGCCGCGGGGTTCCCACAGACGCAGAGATTTTCGCCAGAGCCCTTGTTAGCCGGCGTGTGTGTGTCAGACCTGTCCGCCTTGGGTGGCCCTACCAGGAACGAAGTTCCGGACGGCATAGCTCTGACACTAACGTTTTACACCCCCCCACCGACTGTGAGGTAAGGGTTGGACTTTGGGGTCAGACCGGTAAAAAAATAAATAGATATTAACAGACTGAGATAGATAGATAGATAGATAGATAGATAGATAGATAGATAGATAGATAGATAGATAGATCTGAATAGAATGAGATAGATCTGAATAGAATGAGATAGATAGATAGATAGATAGATAGATAGATAGATAGATAGATAGATCTGAGTAGAATGAGATAGATAGATAGATAGATAGATAGATAGATAGATCTGAATAGAATGATATATATATATATATATATATATATATATATAGATAGATAGATAGATAGATAGATAGATAGATAGATAGATAGATCTGAGTAGAATGAGATAGATAGATAGATTTTAACAGACTGACATAGATATTAACAGGCTGACAGATAGATAATGAACAAATTGAGATAGATAGATAGATAGATAGATAGATAGATAGATAGATAGATAGATAGATAGATAGATATCAACCGGCTGACAGATAGATAGATAGATAGATAGATAGATAGATAGATAGATAGATAGATCTGAATAGAATGAGATAGATCTGAGTAGAATGAGATAGATAGATAGATAGATAGATAGATAGATAGATAGATAGATAGATAGATAGATAGATGAACATACAGGCATACAGTTCTTTTCAACCATCAGAAAAGTTTCAGTGTCCTCGGATAAATCTTTGAATTGATCCAGTCTTTCCTATCAAATCGTGAAATAATTTTTATCCTAAACAGCAACTCGTCTGGGTCTTTTCGTACTAATTCTGGTGTTCCTCAGTATTTCATCCTTTGTCCTATTTCGTTTTAATTTTCCATTAATGGTCTTCCCGATGGCTTTCAGCTCTGAAATTGGTATCTACGCTGATGACACAGCCATTAACTCCTGTCTCGATAGTAAGGCTGATCAGTCTGATAAGGTCAAAATGGCAGATGATCTCCAAAACGATCTCAAGTCCGTTGTTAAATGGAGCAATAGATGAGTTGTTAATTTTAACGCCTCCAAAATTAGTCTTCTCTCCGTCAATCGCCTGATACTAACCTTAAGAAAAGTGACTCGTTAAATTAAGTATGCCACGAATGCAAAACAAATAATGGATGTTTTAATCGCTGTTGCATGATTCTTTCTCTTCTAATGCCATTCTCAACTTTTTCCGCATTTCGTTTTGCTTTTGTTCGTAAAGTTTTTAAACGAAAGACACTTTTAACTCTGTGTGCGTTATTGCAATCGTCATAGCTGAATGCTGGCTTTCTTTCCATAAAACTGACAACGTTTTCAATAGCTTTTTCATTTCCTTGTTCATGTTTTTCATTCTGACAGTATGAACGCTGGGGAATAGTTTCTTTGGAAGATTTTATATCATACAATGATTACATTCCTGTATTGAAGTCAGCTTAGTTACAATGAACTTTCACCAGCTTCTAGTCTGTTTAAAATTTCCACTTTTTGCAATAACTCCAAAAATGTTTTTTTCCTCTTATCTCCATCATCTTTTGCACCAAATACAAGCCATTAGGGTGAAATAAGCATAAGCAATTATTCAAAGTAAATTTCTTGAAAACAGAAATTTCAGATTAGTTACATATCACCCAAATAGTTCAAATATACACATCAAAATCTTGTCCGGATATGCGGCATTCCGGATATGCGGTATTCCGGATATGAGGAATTCTGGATATGAGGGATTCTACTGTAATTAATTCAGGAAAGATATTATTTTTCCCGTGGTTAAATAATTCGATATAGTCTTAAGAAAATCTAGAGGCTAAGCAACGCACAACCTACCCGTTGAGCTTGAGCGATTTGACAGTCTAGCAATGTTTGGGAGAGATGGCAAAAAGAGAAACGTTATTAAGAGCTACAAATTACAGGAAATTGTGGAGACCCATATTCGCCAACCTCCTGAAGAGACACAGCACATAATAGAAGTAATTAATCGGAATGCTAACACCTTCTATGTTCTGTATACCTTCACGACTTGGATGATCATGGCTCTCCACGGCGTCCTGTCCTTTTTATCCCTAAGTAAATTTTGGGTTAATTGGTAGATCATCAGTAAATCCTCATTAACACCCCGCAAAAAAAAATTCTTACGATCTATTAATATTTCTTGGTTTTAAATAACTTGCAAAATGTTGATAAACCGTAAAAAATAAATCAATCAAAATCATTGGTTATAAATAATCTTTTCAACACCTGTCTTTTATTTTTTTTTTTTTTTTGTCATGATGCTAAATGGATATGAATTTCCTACTCTTGACATAGGTACATAGAAATGACCTTGAGACAAACATTTGAATAATTTTCTAATCTTTTTATTATTATTATTATTATTATTGTTACGACAACAACAATAATAATAATAATAATAATAATGATAATAATAATAATAATAATAATAATAACGTAAAATTGCTTGCACAGGACCAATGCTTGCTAAATAGAAATTACCAAGCAAACATACTGAAAAATTGTGTTAAACAGATTCTGTGAAGAATATCCATAAACAGTTGACCGGTGTTACTATAGTATGATATCTACCAAGACATTTGCGACCTATCGTAAATGACGATGCAGTCTACCAAACAACCCATTTTACGGCCTACAGAAATTAATTCCTTAAACTACATACAGTGTTATTTAAAACTACGCCCTTGTGCAAATTAATTGAAACAACCGCTTTACTTTACTTTCTTTCACCATACAGTGACTTTTAGACCCAATGGAGTGACAGGGTTTAATCGATTTCAATTTTGCCTCAGATTAGGTCATTTGCAGTGGGGTACAGTGATATGAATCTATTTTTGGAGTATATGATGAAATTTGTTTAGCCTTGAAAATTATTGCGTCTTCCGTGACTGCATCAAATTTTTATCACGCCTAGGCATTGTTGTCTCGACTGTTGATTAGTTGTCCTACGGCCATTGTCTGCGATGGACGTTACTCCAAGGAAGCATATGAAAATGGTAACGCTACACGAACACACTGGCAAGTCTTAACAGTGAGCAAATCAAAGTACTGTAAACTGGCCCGAAATCTGTCCTGATTTAAATCCAATCAAGTACCTGGTCAATCTGCAAGAAACGACTTCGTGTAATGGACATACGAAGTACTAACATGTGTACTGGGTCATGTTACATTGGAAAAATACAAAAAAAAAAGTAAATAATAACGGAATTATTCGTTTTGTTTCAATTAATTTGCACAAGGGTGTAAAAAGAGGGCTAATTATCTCATTTGCTTTCATAAAAGAAGTATTTATGTACTTCTGTTACAAAATAAACAAGCTAACGTCATATAAAATAATTCTTGGCCATTTAGTTGATCCCACTAGCACTATGCTGGCCAGAAACTTTTACAAAATAATTTCAAATGAAGATGAAGCGGTGTCCTTTTTAAGAGTTAGAGTTAAGGTTTTTAATATTTTTTGTACTTCCAACAGTTGGTAAATATCACAGTAGAAAATGTATAGTAGATATCATACTATAGTAGAAAATGGATGGTAGATATCATACTATAGCAGAAAATGAACGGTAGATATCATGCTATAGCAGAAAATGGACGGTAGATATCATACTGTAGTAGAAAATGTACGGCAGATATCATGCTATAGCAGAAAATGGAGTTTAGATATCATACTATAGTAGAAAATGGATGGTAGATTTCATACTATAGTAGAAAATGGACGGTAGATATCCTACTATAACAGTAAATGAACGGTAGATATCATACTATAGTTGAAAATGGAAGGTAGATATCATACTTATTACAAGTTATAAAAATTGTTATCGTACCAAAAAATTCGTCGCCAAAAATCACGTAAAAACATCGCCGAAAACAATGGAGGTAATGAAAACTTGGAAATCCAAAATTTCAGGATTGTGGGTCCGGTTCTGTTACGAAATGTTTTTAATTTGCTCATGGAGTCGGCCTGATTCCAAAATCTGTGATATGTTGGGTCACAGCGTCTAAGAGTAAAGTTGATAACATGGACAATTTTATTTTGAAACACTATAATTTGCGAATAATATTTTTTTCATTTGAACATGAGCTATTGAAAGTTAGAGAGTTGTGTCCCTTTAATTGTTTTTATCAGTAGAAGCAAATATAGTGGAATCTGAAAACAATTGCAGTAATGAAAACTTGGGAATAAAAAATTTAAGGATTGCGGGTTCGATTCTGGCCTGGATTGTTTTTAATTTGCTCACCGAGACGGCCTGATTCCAAAATTGTATATGGAGGAGAGTTGAAAAAGTGTTACACAGTGATAGATTGGCATACGCATTTATTATATATATATATATATATATATATATATATATAATTATGAACCTAAAGAGCCAGGTAAACCTACCTAGGTTTCACCTACACGGATCGTCAGCTTGCACTGTATTGAGCACTTTACTTAGTTATTTTTGCTTTACTCGATTTGGAGGGGTTTTTTTCTTTGGACTCTAAGCTGGAATTCTAGACGATTGATTTCGCCTCAATTTCATGTTCTTAGTTCTTTCTTTTCTTTTTTTTTTATCCTTATTTTCCTTGAGTATTGGTTTGTGCAATTACAAGCCAAAATACCTAAAGTTTTTTCAAACGAGTATAACTATATATATATATATATATATATATATATATATATATAATTATTTTTATAAAAAGATTATAACATAAGTATGTTATAAAATCACTACAAAAATAGCTATTTTGTTTCAACACACTCTGTGTCTTATCAAGTGATGATGTTGAAAAGAAAATAAATGGTTTTAAAAGTTTCAGATTAATTAACGATCCTACACTAGGGGGAAAACATTGTTACAAAAGCTAGAATAACCAATCAAAAACGAAGTATAGAAGGATTCAAAAGCTTGACAACGAAATCCTGCTATAATAGCTATTCAGATCTTTAAATATCTTTATAATTTATACTAACTAATAATTATAAAATTATATGATAAAATTTAATATTAAAATTAAAAACTGGCAATTTTTAAAATCCAAATTTAATCACTATTAAGTTTAAAAACTACAAAATTATTGAGAAAAGAAAAAATATATATGTTTATTCAATTCATTTCTTCATTGAAATTACGTTAGACAAGACGCCACAATACATCCGGTCATTTGACAATACATGTATATATATTTTTTTCTTTTTCCCTTTCTTTTCCGTTTTTATTTTAAAGTTTGTGAATGTGGTCTTAAACTCACGCGTAAAAACAAAAACACAATCAGATTATAATACATAAGCACCCAGACATAATTAGATACACACACACACACACACACACACACACACACACACACACACACAAACATACACACACACTAAAAAAAAAAAAATAAAATAAAAGGAGGTGGGGGGATACATGAACATCTCTACAGCCCTTTATGAAAAAAGGAGACGTGGAAACTACTTACTTTGATATATATATATATATATATATATATATATATATATATATATATATATATATAAGTAAACGTTCGTTTTCTAATGTTAACAATTGAGCATTTCGATGTGGGGCAATGGTTAACAAGCTTGTTTTGCTAAATCAATTACTACTGAGTAGTGAGTTTGATGCTCAGTGGATGCTCCATACTCTTGGCATTGTGTCACGTGTAGGGTATGCATAGAA